TAGTAGTAGTAGTAGTAGTAGTAGTAGTAGTAGTAGTAGTAGTAGAGTGAGTAGAGAGAGAGAGAGAGGAGAGAGAGAGAGAGANNNNGAGAGAGAGAGAGAGAGAGAGAGAGTCTCGTAAGAACATTAACGGTAATTCAGTTATTTTAGACCCTACTATAAAAATTAGGAGTATTTCTGTCATTTCAAACTAAGAAAAATTAGGAATAGTGTGCTGATTAAATTTCTTTTGGCTAGGCCTAAGCCAAAGCTCGGCCCAATTCATTTTTGGCCAGGTGGATCTAGGCTCAGCCCTCAAATGTATAATTCTGACTGGGCCCGGTGCCTGGCCCAAATACAGATTTTAGGGCCCAGGTCATATTAGGCTTAGAGCAAGTCTAGCCCAGCTCAAGCTCAACCGGTTGTGAGCCCTATATGAAAATAGGTGCTAGTGCATTAGGTGTGGCACCCCCTGTGCAACACAATTTAGGTGAAAGAAAGAAGGATCCCTTTCCAAAAAAAAGTGTCATGCAGCTTTTAAGTAGCGTTTTGCATGTTCACTCTAATGCAAACAGAGGAGCAGAACCGCGTTGACTTCCAACACAATTCACCTAAAGTAGGCATGAATGCAATACGGTGCTTTCCCAAATGAAGTATTAACAATGTAGTCATGACATGATCACAGGAAGATATGAAAAGTTGTGGTCATTGCCTATAAACCACTAATGGCAGTATTACTTTCAGATGAATAAATCGTGAATGCACACAACATTTACCTGAAACATTATTCCAATGAAAGCCCAAAACTTAAAAATGTGGCAGGGGATGCCAATGCATAGCTGCAAACACAAAAAATTCAAAACATTGTGTGATCACAAGAGTGTCAAAATGCAGGATGCTACCTTGTAAAAGAAGAATATGGATTGCAGTTCAATAAATGCAAATGCATGGCAGAAAATACAATAAAGTAGAAATTGTGGATAAGAGCAAAATGCAAAGAGATGGAATAGCTATTCAAGCACGCAAACATAAAAACAATTTAAAATGCAACACACCATTTATGCAAGGTAATAAGAGAAAAACAAGATAACGGTTCAGTTCAGCAGTTTCAAGACCCACGAGTCAAAACACAATGATTCCACCTACTGGACCTCTAATATGTCACAAGAGATATTGAGACTGAGAGAAAGCACTACCTCTTCAATACAATCTAGGACCATGACTAGGCGTCTCCATTGAACTCTTCCACGTAAGTGGCTGCACTGGTTTTATCAATATGATTCTCATGTTCGGAACATGCCTCTCGAAATATGTAATAGGTGACCAAAATATTTGAAGTAACTCTCTTGATACTGTGATGGCAATGCAGACCAACACGTGGAAGAGGAAATGCTTATGGATTAGGGGAAATTATGATAGTGCTTAAGTTAGGGTTATGCTTCTAGCAAGCATCATGAAATCGTGATTACTTTCTAAATTGAAGAATTTGCACTAAGGGAATGTCTCTATGAGCAAGAAGCTGAGTAACTGAATTTCAGTGACAGAACACCTAGGGAATGCTCTGAGAGAGTTCACTTCAGAACATTGACAACGATGTTCATTCCACACTGGTGATGTCCATGATGTCCCCACCGAGTTTTTGAGTTTGTTAAGAACACATTGACTTGGACATTCACATTGTTTTGCCTAAACTAAGATCGATACCAAACAGATCTCACCTAATTTCGTGAGAGCTACTATTCCTTTCCTTTAGAATATATTTTTACCAATAATATATTTTCTTTCTTTTTGATATTAGATATTTGCCAATGACCACCTTTTCAATGTCCGATTTTTCAGATGATTGTAATTGACTTAGTTAGATATATTTTATGCCTCTAAATATAAAATTTCTGATAAATCTCTTAGTTTAAGAAGAGGCTGAAAAGCAATTTAGTAGATATTTTGTAGTCAAGGTGGGGTTGACATTGGCTGTCCCTCTGGGAACCTCACTCGCACTACTAACTGCATTCCCTAGCCATTACCTAACCTAATATTTTAGAGTTTGACATTCCCTCTCTCCCACCGTTGTTACTGCTATGAATCTTTATAGTAATTATGTTTCTGTGACATTTAAAGACTATCTACTAACATATTGATTTATCTATCAACTGGCATGTCCATGTAAGATCTGTTTGAATAGAATCGAAAACTGCAACTGCACATCCATGATAGTGAGTAGCCGTGATGCCCCTGAGAAAAACAACTAGGTCTACATTCTAGTGACTGCTCTTTTGCATAAAATATATTATTCTCCACATAACAAACCACCACTAGTAGCAACAACTGATTAATTTTGCCGATGCCTCTTGCAAGTGATCGGTTATCCACCATCCCATCTTTATGCTCTTGAACCTTGAGCTAGGGATATGGATCAACCACAAATTCTCCCATTCATTAAAGGAGCCTTGTTGGTTACATGACCAAGAAATTGAAGGAAAAGAATATCAATTCTTCTCTTACACCTTAACAAAGAACAAGGATGACCTTTAAGCCACGTTGGTTGTTCGGATTTGCAAGTTAGCCCCAAAATGAACACCACTGTGTTGTAGAAATTAAATATTGCCATTTACAAGCACTATAAGCAAGTACTGTTCCAATCTTATGCACATGTTAACCACAACAAAGTCCAGCATAACAGACACAGGAATCATTAATTATGTCATAATCTGCTCTTTCACCACCATCTTTGCATGTTTTCAAGCATGAATGAAAATCACAAACATGCATCATAGATGAAAGCAAAAGATCATACCTCATGAAATAGGGAAGAAACGAGGAAAGAAATCATAATGGCACCACTCTGCAAAAACGGAAAAAAAAAAAGCCATCAGTGACATCTTCTCGACATAGTCTAGTTATCTAGTTCAATGTTTTAAAATCCATAACTAGGGGGGCCCTACTCGGTTATGGCCAAAGCAGAGTTAGCTCAGTGAATCTTGAGTCCACCTGAGCCAACGGCATGAAAAAAAAAATGCTTAAACAATTGAAAAAAGTGTGAAATATGACTAAATGAAAACATACAAAAAAATTCATGTATATTGAGAAAAAAATAGAAAACTTATAGATACTACAAGTTTTAACACTCAGAGTGACAAGCATTCATTCTATAGTCCAAATTGGAGACATAGCAATAATGACTTTCATAAGGGCATTCAAATTTCAAATTACAAATATACATGCAAAATGACTCACTCAAAAACTAACATGAATGAAAGGGACACTCATAGTCGCCTGATCATGGCCATCCCAGTCCATGTTGTCAAAATCGGACCAGATCAGCTAGTTTGAGCCAGAAATCAGTGAACCGGCAGCCATTCCTGATTGGATCGAACCCACCCCCCCTCCCCCTCCCCAAAAAAAAGGAAAAAAAACAAAAAAACAAAAAAAAAAAGAAAAGGGCCATCAAACCAGCCGTGAATGGTTGACTAACCGATTTGATGGTTCGAGACTGAACTGGGCACTCCTAATGTAGTAAAAAAAGGTAAATATGGTCATATATGTTTAAAAAATTTAATAAGAATTTTTTTTTTATGATTTTCTTTCAAACCAGCCTTAAAAGGGCCTTTTCGTAAAATAAAACATTATGTTGGTTTTTGGGTATAAAAAGCACTTAGTTTTTTAGAGAGAAATGGTTTGGCGATTTGCGTTCTCGCTCTGTCTCAACTAAAAAACCCTAAGGTCATGTTTACTATAGCTTTCCCCAGTTTGGGAACAGTAAAAGAGGGTAAAGTCGGAACTTAAACATGCCCCATTACACTATTACCTTGAGTAAAGTGGCCTGCGTTGCCACTTTCACGGAAATTTGAAGGGGGTATAACCCCTCAAGACCTAAAGCTCGCCCTTCTATGGATGCCATTACAAGCTTTAACTCCTCCATCTCTCTAACCCTTTCTCACTCAAAACCATAGGTGTCTTCGTCAACACAATTGCTTGAGCTTTAATGGTAAATCAAAGCTATGTTTAGCGATATGGTAGAATACTTGTCTGGTTTTCTTTTATTGGGTATTTTAGGGGTTCTTTTGTGGACAATAAAACCAGAATGTTGAAAATCATTAGAATCATTGGTTTTGGATTGTGCTTTATCTTGCAGGGTTTCAAAGATTAAATTATTAATGGAGAAAAGATGCATCTTCTGATTTTCTTTCCATTATCTCGATCTCTTTTGTTTTCTTCTTTTTTTCCCTTTTTTCTTTGAGTTTGAAAATGGAGTACCAATTTGGGAGTTATTAGAGTTTTAATCCTATGGATGAGTCTTGAACTTCTAGGATTGTCAAGTACAGGGGATTGTTAGTGGAAAAATAATTCATTCTCTTCAAATATTTCGGTATTTCAGTTTCCTTTTCCTTGTGAGTAATAACAAATTAAATTCAAGAAACATTTGTGAATGAAATGTGGTTTTTCGTTTTTATTATTAGAAAAATCAGTTCTCCATTATTTTTGGGTTTTTAGGGATGTATTTAACTTTGAATTTTAGGGTTCCAAAGGAAATTTACTAGCCCTGCAGCCACTACTCTCCTCCTCGCCCCATCTGAATTGGGTTTTTTACTGCTGTCTTTCTTAATAAATAGATGCCTAAGAGGTGTTGCTTTTTTCAGACATTTTTCCAGATATTTTATGAATGGATGTCTAGGAGAATGTTTTCTTATCATTTTTTATGAAAATGTGAATTTTTGGATGAAGTTGTTGTCCTTTCCTTTTTATATTTGACTGGATGCCTAAGCAGTCTTGCTTTTCAATCTCTTGCTAGATGCACTAAGAATTTTAATTGTGTGAATGGATTCTTTCTAATTACCACATTGATGGACATTAAAGATTACCACAATCGGATTTGGATTTTTTTTCTATCGTGAAAGCCTTCTCAAGATAAAAATGTAGTCCTTTGAATGAAAATGTAGTCCTTTTTTCAGATAGTTGATGGGTGGATGTCCAAGAGGTCTGTCTTTTTTCTTTCTTGCTAGATTGGTCAAAGATGCAATTTGAATGTGGTAAATACTCATGATGTTGGTACTGATTGATAATAATTTTAACTTGTAAGATATAGAAACTCTCTTTGTTTGTAAATTTATAGACATACATATTTATTCTCAGACACCAAGCCTAGAGAGAGGAGAGAGAGAGCTACTTAGATACCGGTGTGGAGGAGAGGAGGAGAGAAGGAGAGGGAGAGGTATGAACTTTTATAGTGGGAATGAGGGGAGGACCTCGCTTTATATAGGCATTAATGGCCCTAGGTATTCCTACCTTAATTAGGATTTAGTTCGAGAAAAGATTTTCTGGTAATCTGTGCTGTGCGATAGAAACAAATCAGGGACATCCATTCCTAAAATAAGCCATCGTGAATTGGGGAGGAATTTAGGAACCTTATCCCCAGAAACTTTGGTCCATACCCTCTTTTAGTCAATCCGGGAGAGAACCAATCAAACTATATCATCTATTTTGACTAGAATTTCTTTTCTCTCACAAAATATTTGTAGAAATTTAAAGTAAAAAATTCAAAGGTCTATTTTTAAAAGTCATAGGTCAAGACAATATTCAAACTATAACCAAATATATCCTAAAATACATATATTTGATCATTAAATATTTTTCTGCCCCAAAAAATTCTCAAAGATTTTCCGAAGACATTCCCAGCATATGGGAATATTTTCTCAGCAAGTGTGGCATCCCACCTTTGTGTGTGATGTGGGGCCCAACGTCTACACCCATGTGGTATCCACATGTGCAACAAGTGTGTCGAGAAATGTGGTTTCAATACTGGAAATCTTTGTGATAGCCTTAAAATATATTTTCATCTTTAATTATAAAATTTAAAGCTTCAAAAATAGTGTAGATCGAGCAGATCTATGAAAATTTGAAAATCTTGAAAATTGACACTCCAAAAATGGGTTACAAGATGCACTGTTTCCAAAATTTGAAAGCCATTTTTACTTTTCATGTCCATGCACCTTGATGTCGAGATGATCAATTTGAGGATATTTGGGCATCAAAACAACCTCTTCCAGTAAAAATTTTGAGCTGGGCTCTAATTTGACTGTTTAGAG